AGTGATTAATAATGACCCTGTTTTGATAAGTGTTTATGCTAATTGTATGTTTTTAACTAAGTTACTCATTATATTTCCTTTGAGTGTAGCTTGCGTTGAAAGATTTTTTTCAAAATTAAAAATAGTTAAAAACCGTCTTAGAAATCAGCTAAGCCATAGCACATTAGAAAGGTTGATGATGATTGCGACAGAAGGTCCAAAGGAGTGTTTTGACGACGATTTGTTAGAGTACTTTGGCGACGAGTTGAAAGGCAAAAATCAAAATATGAGAATTAAGTTGTAGATTTAAAATTTACAACGTTAATCTCATTTTAATTTTTTTATTTGAGCTTACAGACAATTAGTGAATGTTTAATTTTTGTAGTTTTTTCACGGAATCTTCTCGTTGATTTCTTGTATTCCAGCCGTGTTTTTACAATTTTTGTTTGTCGTAGTTAACTGAACTTTTATTTGTATGTAAAATAAAAGCTTTTTGTTCCCACAGGAAGTCCTAAACTTTAGAGCTAAATGGTTTTAATAATCGTTATCTTGTGCATTAGATATTATTAGACGACTTCTTGCAACATCAGATAGATTTCTTAAACCCAATCATTACTTAATTTTCTTAAACCCAACCGTTACCTAAATAAACAATCGTAAATAAATAAAGATCGTACGTCAAGAAACGCTCGTTTAAAACGCGCATAGCGGTCCAAGTTTATCTGAAAGCTAACTAGTTTTTCTTATCGCCGATGACATTTAAGGCAAAGTTTAGAACAATGAAGACTTAAAATTTACACTAGCAAATTATTCATCGATAAAAGTTAGATTATAAAATTAGCTTGCAAAAGTATGAATATCTGTTTAAATATAGAAATGGTTAAAAAAAAGGTGTTAAGTATTTTAAACAAATTAATAAAACTTTTTTTGAAAGAAGATAAACGTTAAAACTAGATAAACATTAAACTGTTAAAAAGTTCAGTGGAAAAATTTAAATTTTACATTTACTATAAAAAAACGCTACCGTCGCTTTAATTTTTTTCTTAAAGTCACTGTAGTGATTTCTAATTGGTTGATTTTTTTTTTTAATTTAAGAAATGCATGCCCAAACCAAAACCCTTAATTGATGGGTAGGCTCTCTTGTCAAACCATTATTCAAAAACAATATAATATATATTGTTTTTTTGCATTTTCGGTCCTTAAGGTCCGAAAATGCAAAAAAACGACTTTATTTAAAAGAGAACCCGCCTACCCCAAACCCTCAGTCGTTGTTTGCACATTTCGCTGCATGTTCTCTCTAAAAATCAGTCTGTGTATGTGCACACCGCAGCGCAAATCCCTATATACCCTATTTTGCCTATTTTCTAGAAATACAAGCTCGCGGACGCAAAGGATTAATAATTACAGATATACACGCTTTAAATCATCGTTTAAACTTTTTTTATAAAATATAATATATTTTTTTATGATATTAAATATTACTTTAAATAATATTCCTTTTAATATTATTTAAAAGCGATATCAAAGTATCACACCGTTAATTTTTTATTTGAAAATAAAAGATGCGAGCTTTTTTTTTTTTTTTTCACTCAACAGTTGACGGCAACCTAAATTCCCAATGCTATGAAAACGCTGTATATATTTTATTCCTGGCTAACACCCTGGTATACTGTGACTATTGATGCATTAAAGCAAATCTTAACACAATCTTAACACTATATTTTTTGGTATTTTATTTTTCGAATGATTAAATCCAATGGGACAAGTTCAAACCAAAAAAATTTAGAAACAATATTTTCAAAGTTAAGATGAGCTATCTTAACTTTGAAATTATTATTTCAAAAATTTTTTTGGTTTGAACTTGTCCCATTGGATTTAATCATTCGAAAAATAAAATACCAAAAAATATAAATAAAATATAAATATCCGTTTTATTTAATTATTTAATAATATTTATTTTGTTAAAATCAAAAAAAATTTTTTTTTTGATATAATAAGTGGGGCACAGCCCCTGGTGCCCCTGCCTCATTGACCCTCTGGTCATCGGAGGATTAGGATTACACAAATGCCAGAATTTTTAGAGCTCCAGTTTGTAAAGAAGGTCTATCCAGACCATATATAAGACTCAGCCCAAGACACAAAGGGGCCTAGTGTCTTGGGCCCTAGAAATAATTTTAACATGCACATTTATCAACACTTCAGAAATTCAAAAAGTTTCAGGGCTCCAGCAAATCTGGAAAAGAATGAAAAATCAATTGCATAATTATGCTACAAAAATATGGGGACTGTGCCCCTGTTATCCATATATATAGAAATCCATATACTTGCAGATCAAAGTCCTTATGTTTTCTGAAAGATCATTGAACATAGAATGACAATCAAAAAATTTTTTTGATATCATTAAGGTGACATGGGTTTCTAGGGCATTACAAACATGTATATTAAAAATTGCCTAAATTTATTATTTAGGCAATTATCTAAGATTTATCATTTATTTGGATTCATCACCCCTTAAATAAGGCATGGTACAAATGGTACAAATACCCCTGAAAAAAGCCAGGTACAAATTTTTAAGTAAAAAGATCAAATAGTTTTAAAGTTCCTTTTGCATTGTGTAATTTATGTTCATAAATTACACAATGCAAAAGGATTTTCATTGTGTAATTTATGTCCTTAAATTACACAATGCAAAAGGAACTTTAAAAATAGAAGTAGGAGACCATTTGCACTTTAGCACAGCAGTTTTCATTCAACTTAAAAGGCTTAAAGCATTTTAAGTTGAATGAAAACTGCTGCTCAAAAGAGCGAATGGTCTCCTATTTCTACTTTTTAAATTCCTTTTATGTTGTGCAATTTATGGACGATCCTTTATATGACTTTAAACCTAAACGCTGTGATGCTAAAGGGAAAAGAGGGATCCGGCCAATATTTGCTAAAAATAAAATAATAATATTTCAGAATCTTCTTAGACCCAGAAGCTATTAAGTGACTGGGGCCCCAGCCCTGGCTTATCCCTAGCTAAAAATGAGACTTTTTTCAAACCTGGTCCCAGCCCCCGCCAAAGTGTAGGACTTAGCAGGAGTTAATAACCGGGGCTAGAAAAAATTTATAATACTTTATATATTACAAATTTGTACTTACACATACTATTTATTAAATATTGACATATATTTATTCAAGCAACCACTATTAAGTTATGAGTTACTTTAAAATTGAGAATAAGTAAAAAATACTAGGAAATGGTTAACTAAAGACTTAAAAAGTTGGAGGTTGTATATAATTTTTTTTTCCAGAATTTAAATCCATAAGCCACTTCTGTAAATGGCTGTTACAGAAGAGAGATCAGATTAAAAACCGGCTGCTTGTTCAAAGCAATCAAAAAGTGAAGGTTTTTTGTCAAGACAAGAGAATAAAGTTGTTTCAAATAGAGCCACTTTAGATGTAAAATTTTCATAAAGGTTGTTATTTTAGATAAGAAACAATACAGGAGCAAATATAGAACCTTGTGGTACCCTTAAAACTACTTCAAATAAAGAAGAATGTAGGCTTTCAAGAATAACTTTAATACTGCAGTAAGAAAGAAATAATTTAATATTCTCAAAACCTTTATATAAAGAAACTAATAACAGAGTGAAGACTAATCGTTGGATAGGTGGAGAGGTCATAGTGTGCTTTATTATATTAACTCTGCTTTATTCTGAAGAAAAGTAAAAAGATCAGACCCATAAATAAGAGACTAAATAGACTAACTTTAGTTAATGACATTGTTGAAGACTAACTAAATGTCTCTAGATCCTAACATCTGATAAAAGATTTAGTAAACTGGGAATAACAGAGCTTAATATCAGGCAGGGCTTATTTACATTGATTTCTTGGAACAATAAATAGACATTTGTTCTTAAGAGAGATGTTCTTGAAAATAGATAAAGAAAATGATTAATGTTTAATAAAGAAACTGCTCAAGATGGTGAAAAGTGTGGAATAGAATGAGGTAATAGAATGAAAAATGAAGAGTAGGAAAAAAATCTTCCAAACTTTTAGTCCAAAAGGAATAAAAGCTTCCAAAATGCGCTTTGTGCATACATATTATGGATGTAAACATATATGTTTGCTATTTATTAATATGTTGGCATACAATATCCTTTCATATTTATATAAACTTTAGCATTTATATGGTGTAGTATTTGCCAAAAGATAAGATGATCAGATGATGATTATGATGATGATGATGATGATGTTGATGATGTTAATGAAGATGGTGATAATGATTATGATGATCATGTTGATCATAGTAATGTTTTATATGCATATATATATATGTTGATCATAGTTATGTTTTATATGCATATATATACAAAACATAACATGAATTTTAAAAATATAATTTAGGATGTATAAATGTTTATGCAGCCCTGGTCACAAAACTTGGCCCCAGCCCCGATAAAATGCCAACCCAGGTCACTTACTGCCAGAGGATAAAAATTTCAAGGAATTCTTCTATCTACTAAGTACTCTCAATTGTATAAAAATCAGCAAAAACTGAGATGTATGGTGACATGACCTGGGTCACATGGAATTACCCACAAACAAGCTATGCTATTAGTTTAAAGCTGATGTATGACTTTTCAATTTCTTTTGAAACTTTTTGTAAATAATGATAAGGAACTTTTTTTTTTTATTTCTTAAAAAAACTGTCAAACATTTCCAAAGCCTCTAAAAAAAATTAGGCTTTTAAAGAATAAAAATTAGAAAATAAAGAAATTAAAAGATGATGGCTTTCTAACCACAATGGTTCCTAAAAACTCAAACTTTTATAAAAATAGTAATTTTAAGTAAAATAAGTTTTTTTGAACATAAAACAAATAAAACTACCTAAATTTTATGAGCTTTACTAAATTCCTGAAATTTAGGAGACCCAGAAAATTTTCAGATTTCCAAATTAATACTTATATATAAACAAATTCTATCTTTTTTTACTTTTCTACTTTAAAAAAAAAAACAAAAAAAAAACAAAGATATAC